TTGGACTGATGACCTGACAAAAGCGTACGAAAGACAGGGGTTGTGGGGGCTCAGATTTTAGGGCGGGTGGCTCAGGGCTTTTCGTTTTTAGGTTTATGAAACAAGGTGCAAACTTAAAGTCTTAAAGTCTTTTTGGTAAGGGGCCCCTTGAAGAGTATTGAACACATTTCTATGGCCTGGCCTCCCCAACCAAAACCAGAAGCAGCTCATGGTCGCTGCCAGGAAGAGGATTGTCACCAACACCAACACCAAGACCGCAGGCGTGAGGCTGCGTTGATGGTGTTGCTTGCAGCTATTTTGTTTCAAGACGCGACCCTACAAGCGTAGGGATTCTATGATATTATGTTTGTCAGTTCCGGGCAACCGGGCCGTGGAAATTTGATAACTTTGATATCCTATCACTCGATGTCCTCCTTTGACATGGAGAACCCCGAGAACCCCTAGCCTACAATGCAGTTCCTGGCCGCTGTAGGTGCAGGATGCTTATCAAAACCACGCTCCTTGAGGCGTGAGCGAGATAGTCGTTTGCTAACGGGTGAGTTCGCGAAGCCTCGTTTGTTTTTAGTTTTCGGGTTGGAGACGCTGAGATTTGGAAGCCTTAATCATGTGTGAGCAGCGGGGCTGGACATGTCTTGACGCTTTGCAGTGACCATTGCAAGAACTGCTGGCTCGTAAGCTTAGGTGGTACTTATCTGTGTTGGCCAGTCTTGAACTATGCAGAACTCAGTTCGAGTTGCCATGACTGAGAGTGAGGGTGAGCATGACCATGACAACGCTGCCGCCGAGCAGCGTCCTCAAGCGGCTGCTGCAGCCGCCGAGCAGCGTCCTCAAGCTGCTGCTGCAGCCGACGCAGAGAGTCGCAAAGTGGTGGCAGAAATCTTCTGCGGCTCAGGAAATTTGTCGAGGGCCCTTGAGGTCTACTTTGTGGCCCACCAGTATGATTTGCAGATCGATGTGAGCCATGACTTCAGCAAGTGGGCTCGCGTGGAGAAGATCGCCGCGTTTTTGATGGCTTCAGGTTGCCGGTATGTGCACATGGCTCCGCCGTGTAACACCTACAGCAACGCTCGGTATCCAAAAATAAGGAGTGTAGGTTTCAAAAGTACGAAGATTTGAGAAATACTTGATTTCATTCTTTGTCCTTGCGACGCGGCGACCCTGTCAGGAGTTCCAGCAAGCCAGCCGGTTTGCCTACTGCTTGGAAATGTGGCAAGACAGCGAAGTTGCTCAAGACAAGCAACGCCATCACACGGAATGCGTTCAAGATGATGGACCAATTGCTTGACCATGGTGTTCTGTGTAGCGTCGAGAACCCGCAAAGCAGTTTGAATCTTGTCGGTTTAGAGCAGTAGCCTTTTCAAGCCTATTTTAGGGTGACTGCCAACATAGATTTGCCCCCCATTCACACATCGCACACATGTGTTCCAACTTCAATGGGTCCTCAAAATCATCAACAATGTCAACCCACATGGAAGGGTCGAATGGCTGTCCATCAAACGACAAGCTCTGCCCCAACCCTGCTTTTCAATTTCTCAACCTGTTGCGGTGTAGGTGCAGTGAGGCTACAGATAAATATTTGCAGTTTGACTTTTTTGGATATGATTTTGCCAGTTCAATCTTCAAAGCAAAGACCTTCTTGATTAAAGTGTGGGATCGGGCCCATGCTTTCCTGCCAACCAGGATTTGGAAGACTCGAGATTTCCTGCGCGTTGCTGCGAAGCACCAGCTCAATGCGGTCACCTTCGACATGTGCCAGAAGCGTCCTCAGGGGTTCAAGTCGCGTTAGCTATTGGTGGAAGCTAGAGATTTTGGCGTTCTTCATGAGGGTTGAAAGGACTTGCGTGTTGACAGTTGAGTTGGTTGAGAGCTCCAAACGCTGGGTTTCAACCAGGCCCCATTTGTTTGGGTTTCCATTTTGGAGGCATTGTTTGTGCGACCCTGCTATCAACACTATATTTCCTGTGACATGCAACGGTGGACACCAAAACTTAATGTTAGATAATGTTAGTATATCTTTTGATGGGTTATAAGACCTCTTTTAAGGTAAATCAAGTGTTTCCAAGAGAGGCTGGCACATAGTGGCCCGTGTCTACAAAGGTTTGTCAAGAGAAAAGACGATAAGAGGACAACAGCACGCCCCCGCCCCGCTCCCAACAGCTAGACAAATTGCTCTTAGGTTCGGAGAGGAGTACCGCAAGCGCACGACCATTTACATGAACGGAGACTTCTTGGATGACTTGAACCGGCAGTGCGATGGGTCGCACCAGCACACATCTTTGTCCGGCTGGGTTGACAAGAGTCACCCTACCAAGAAGCGCAGGGCCACCAAGGGCACAGCAGTTTACCCACCTTTGCTGTGCTCTACTTGGGCACAGTGTGTTGTCCAGGCTCTTGGGACAAATTGAAAGTCCTGAGAGAGGATGATTTTGGGGGCTGGCGCATTGTTGCCAGAGGGTGAGGTTTGACCTCACGCCATTACAATAGTGGCCATGAGCATGGCGGTTCAAAAGGGGAAAACACGCGAAGTTCAGCTTGGCTGAGTTCAAAGGATTTTCTCTAGAAAGATTCACCGCTCCTGGTCCAAACATTGGATTTGGACGCACTGATGGACATCCTTATCATTGTTCTCCGGAGGTTCTGGGTTTCTTTCAGTTCCGTGTTTTTTGTACTATATAAGACAAGATATATAAGATATACTGACTGCTACTACCCAATTACTCCCACTACTACCTATATACTACCGTATACTACCTACTACCACTACTAACCCACTACCCTTACTACCTACTACCTACTGCCACTACTACCTACTACCACTACTGCGACTGCTACTCGGGCCACTGCTTGGGGGCTTCGCTCTCCGGAGATGAATGAGGATGAGGTGAGGATGGAGCAGGAGGTAGGAGGATTAGGAGGTGAGGATGAGGATCGGCAATTCTTGATGGTTGATGTGAATCTAGGATGAGGAGCTTGCAGTGATACTCTAATATAACATGCATCCCTTGATGGCCCGGAGTTAGGAGGATCACGAGGATCGGCAGCGTGATTCATGCCTAACACGCGTTCCACTAACCTTTCGTACTACCATTGCCTACCCCGTTACTATACAGTACATCTTTTGCACAAAACTTCAGATATAATAACTGTGTATTTAGATGATGATGTGGCACTGGCGCCCACAAAGACTCATCCGGCAGAAATCAGATTCCAATACATTCAGAAAGGTTGGGGGACACGAAGTCGCACGCCCATTGCCATGGTTCAACCCTTAAAGCTTATCTTGGGATTCCGGAAGATTGAGAAAGTTCCGTTTTTTTGGTGTCAGTGTAAGCGTTCTGTTGCAACAGCATTTGTGACGAATCTGAGGTCTGATTCGGATTCGTCATAAATGGAAAAGGCAGCGCGTGCACACCCTCCGAGCAATCCAGAGCCGGTTTGTATTTCCTTGGGACAACCTCCGCAAAAACTCCGTGTTATGTACAAAAAGTCATGGAGGAAAGTTTGGGCATCCATTTGAGACGAATCTGGTGTCTGATTCGTCGCAAATCCAAAAGTCAGCTCCCGCGCCCTCCAAACCGTTTATTATCGGTTCTAAAATTTCCAACAAAATGAATGTTTTCTCAAAAAGTCATGGAAAAAAATTCGCGAGAGTTTCCCCCTCTGTAAAACTGGGGGAGTGAGACAGCAAATAACAGCTCGTGTTGCCACATGTTTTTGTGACAAATCTGAGGTCTGATTCGTCACAAATCCAGGGATCACAACAACCTCCAAGTCATGACAAATCCTGCCCTGGATTTGTCTGAACATTGCTGCTTTCCCCAGAGACAACAAGTTTAACGGGCTGTGACAAATTGAGACCTGAGTCAAATAAGGTGTGGGTTGCGACCAATCCCACCCCAGACTTGTCACAAACCAATGATTTTGTAGTTGCCCTGCTTTGTGACAAATCGGGCTTGTTGTTGTTGTTGTTGTTGCCAACCGTGCCACAGCCAGGCGTGCGCGGCCTCTTCAGCTCTTCAAGGAGAGGTGGTCACGCACTTGTCCTGTTTTTGTTGCGGCCACCATGTTGGCCTGGTGACCTGATGGCAAATCAAAGAGATTGATTGGTCCTTGTTGCTGAATGTTGCTGATCAGCTTTCGTTGTTGGTGGTCAGCTTAACAGTTCTTCCGCAGCTGTTTTTTCTCCAGTTTCTCCAGCATGGGGGGAAAAAGAGAGATCAAAGTGAAGCAAGAGCTGGGTTCCACCACAGCAAGCAGTAAACGCAGGAAGGGGTCACTGGGAGGTAGCAGCGCCGGCGACTCTTCCGAGAAACGTGAATCTGGCTTGTCTCAAGAGGTCAGCAAAGTGGACAAGATTCTGTTGCTGAACCCGTGGCTGACCACAGTGATTGAGCGCTTCGAGAAAGAGTGGAGTGAGTTCGGTGATGTGACGCAGATCCTTTACCACTACATGCCGGATGCTGGGGCTCAAAGGGAGTGGTCAGCGTTCCTCGCCAGCACCTTTCCGCCAGACCCTGACAAGAAGTACATGGCTTCACACGAGGTGCCTTTTGGGCGTCAGTACATCAGGCCATACATGTGGTCTTGGGACCGCCAGCATGGAAACAAAGGCTTCATTGACAAGACCCACTTCAAGAACCTTTTGACGTTGGTCCTCACCCGTGGCTTCAACACGAATCCTGACATTCCAGGCACAGAGTTGCCACTGATTTGCAAACCGCAAGACGAATTGCAGGCAGATGGGGGCATAGTTTGCGCAGAAGTTGAGTCAGCGCCATGGCGTGTTTAGTTGTTGTTGTGGGGGGAGGGGGTTGAGGGTAGCTTTGCAGAAGGCAAGTTGTGGAGTCTGTGCCATGACATCCCGGAAATGTTTTGTGGGTGTGCGAAACTGAAGTGGATTTATGCTTGGAAAGGGGAGTTTCTTTAGGGAGCGTCCTAAAATCCAGGAATAGGTCCGGGCGGGGGTGCCGACACCTTAGGGCTGCCTCGCCTCCAGCACGATGCAGTGTGTGAAGGGCTGGACTCGCGGATGTGCTTTGCACATGGCTGTCCTTCTTCTGAAGCTTGAGAATTGCTTGGACAAGTTCGTCGCCATGATGGGGCCGGACCGGATGGGTGGGTTTGCAACGCAGCATGTGAACTTTGTCATGGTCAACGAGGCGGTTGATGTTGTGGACATGAACCGAGGCGTGTGACTTGCCCAAGCGGTCTATTGTGGAACTGTAGTCTTGTGCGTTGGGTGGAGCTGGTGTTTTGTTGTTTTGTTTTAAAATTGCCACTGGAGTCACCGGACCCCTGCAGAAGTGACAATGACTACGGTGATGACAAGGATCCGACCCAATTGCTTCACGCATTTACACCAGATTGAACGGCGCATGAAGCTGACCAGGACAACCAAGACAATGTGAACTTGGGGAGGGAGTTTGAGAAATAGCAGGGACGTGTTTATCATCAGCTATTGCTTCCAACACAGCCTTTAATGACTATCTTTGTTTCATCTAATTACTATAGACTTGCTAAAGGGGACTGCGCTAAGGGCTAAGGCTAAGGGAACGCAAGAAACCATTCCTGCGCTGTTACTTGCAAACACCGGCTCTTGGTGACACCCATGTGCCCTGGGAGGACTTCAAGCTGTGATGTCCACCTGCTCCAAATGAAGAGTAGTCAGTTTGGCCAGATGTGCCTGACGCAAGCGGAGGCGGATGCAACGGAGAACCTCCTTGTCCACATTCCAAATTCCTTGCGCGAGGAATTGGCAAGGATGGCTATGACCTATGGAATGTCAAGGGGGCCTTTGTCGCATGCAGGTGTTGCGAGCAAAGCATGGAGGCCGACGTACAGGCCTTGTTGCGACGCAGATTGGTACCGTGACCGCCTTGGAAATTGTCACTCCACGGTGCACCTCATGGCTGCGCGAGTTGAGAAGGATTGGCTGGCCCAACCACCAGCTATGCGACGGATGGCAAATGGGGACGCCATCATACTGTTGCAGAAGAGTCTCGGAGCGAGATGGCGAAGGATCTTATATGTTTTTTTTGTGATTAGACCAACTTTGTTTAGTTCTGTGATGCCATGCGCGTGCGCAGTCTGCGCTGATGAGGATCTGTCGCACCTTTGAGGTTTTCTTGGATGAGCTTGAGCGGGAAATCCCCCACGAGCGGTTTCTAGCAGAAAAGCCAATCCTGATGGAGAGTTTTATGATTCAGTCCTTTGACGACGCGCTTTTGCAGGTAGCAGAAACGCAGCCGCCCTTCAGCCTTGGCCTCCTGCCAGAATGCAAGGCAGTGGTATCTCGCCACACCCAAGAAGTCCAGCTGAACGAGGTCAAAAAGCGGGCTGAGCTTCAGCTCCAAGTTGATGGCGCAACCTTCCAGAGTCTCAGCTCAGACTTGCAGGCGGACATGTTGCAGTTGGACAAGTACGCCAAGAAGGTTCGTGACGCGCAGGCCTCTTGGGCGCCTCAGGTTCAATACTACAAGCGGTCGCGGCGTGCCAAAGGCGTGGAGAAGGTGGGGGTGCTCATGACGCAACGGATCAACGCAGTCCACATGGAAGCTGCGAATTTTGTGGATGTCCCACGCAAATTTGCTCAGTTCAAAAGCACTTCAGCCCACAGCTTGCCGCAGTTGGATGAGGGAAAAGCGTCTACCCCTGAGTTTCTCAAAACATTCAAAACAATTGTTTTTTACACCAAGAACGTGTTTGTTGTTGAGATGCAAGCTGAGGGAAGCCTTGGTGCTGGTTGATTTGGGCAGAGGTGGAACGTTCACTGATGTTGAGGCTTGTGTGAAGGCTTGCGCGGACATTTGCCATCAGTCGGAGAGGCACGCAGCCTTGATCCGCTATCCCCAAAAGCACAAGAATCAAAAGATGGAGGCCTACCTGGCTTTGCGCCGCCGGATTGAGGATCGTGCTCTCAGTAGTGGGCTTTCCTTGGAGTACGACATCGATGTTGATTACGCCACAGATGGGCTTCATGGCAATGACTCGCGAAGTGCTTTCTCAAAGTACCGATTGTGCCCTAGCTCTACGCACGAGAACAGATCTACTTGGCTTGGAGCAGTGGCTTTTGCGAAGCGGGGCAGGATCTCCAATGTCCCGCTGATTTCCGCCTCCCAGATGCGGACGGTTCCTCACGAGAACCGGTCTTTGGCTCTTCAAGGCCTGGGCCCGGCAGAGAGAGCTTCGCAGCAAGGTGTCCGCGGAGCAAAGCAAATTTTGGCAGATCTGCTGATGGGACGTGAGAATGAAGAGCGCGCAGCGAGGAGGCTGGACTGGCGAGCCAAACTGTTTGAGGGTGTGAAATGATGCTGGGTTGGTGTGAGGTAGGTGTTTTTGGTCTTAAATGTGTGCCAAATATGATTGTTGCTCGCGTGCTGTGAGGCACGTGATTATTGTGGACCTATTGCCTGGTTGCGGGGATTGGTGCGACGCTGCGTGGGACTTGCATGAACAGTGGCAGGCTGGAGCGGCTGGGGTCCCCTGCGTATGCTATTTGGCTATCTACAGGAAGGATGATGTCTCCGCCTTTGCTGGCATGAAGGCTCACATTCAGGGTATGTTGTTGGCCCGGTGGTGGGAGTCGCAGTCAGAGGCAGGGCCCAGTGAACCAACTGACCGAGCTGTTGTCCCACCGCCACTGCTACGCCTTCTGGCTTTGGACAACAAAACACCTCGGATTCCGGACGTGTTGAAGAAGCACTTTGAAGAGTCGGCGGACTTCAAGCTCCCTTGGCAAAACTTGTTGAAGGATGTCTCCGCAAAGTTGTCAGGCATGGTCTTTGGCTGCGACGGAGATGTTGACGTGGGGAGCAGCCGTCCAGAGCAGGACGCAGTGGCGATGCGCGGGCCAGAGTTTCTGGACGATTTTGGCGGGGGCCACCCTATTGATCCACATTGTGTCCTCGAGGTTGAAGTCATAGATAGCAACGAGATGGACATGAGTGAAGTGTGCCCCAGCTGCCAATTTGCCATTTGGGCCGGTCTGCAAATCTGACCCCAGAACCTCAGGCAATTTGTTTAAAATTCATATGTTTCTTTGAGATTTGCCTGATGTACTGGGGTCAGATTTCGAGACTGGCCCAAAGCAGATTTTTTCGCTGCCCTGATTCATGGTTGTTTTTGTTCTTGCTAGCAGCGCATTTTCACAGGGAGCTGGTCGATGTAGGAATCAAAACGGAAGCAAACATTGACATGTTGACAATGGGTGAGGGTTAACCCAGGCCGTGGTTGAATTGTAAAAATGACAAGTGCCCTGCCTGTCCGGCTGATGCTAAGGCTGTTCTCTTGTAACCCTTCAAAGCACGTGCCAGCCATCTACATCACCAAAAAGATGGACATTCTTTTGATGCTGGAGGAGAGTGTTCACGGCCCGTCCTTGGAGTTTGGCCCTGCAGAACTTGGCGGGTTCAACACCGGGACCATTGTGCGCAATGAAGTGGAAGAGTTTGAAGGTTGGACCTGTTCTTTTGTGTGCTTGAGTGCCAAATGCAAGTTTTCATTAGTCATCTGGGCATACTTTGCAATTTCAAAGCGGCTTTTGCTGCAGGAGTTGACTGCATCCCATTTGTTTTCGCCAATGACTTGGAGCTTGTGTGCGTGCCTGGTGACGGAGGCAAGATGTTGGCGCCCTTGTGCAATCTGAACTTCATTGCTTTCCAGAAGTCCATTGCGGACCTCAGGCCAGAGTTCCACTCAGGCGTCCCAATCACCGTTCCGCAGGCGCGCTAAAAAGCACGCGCTATACATAGCTAGATAGAATTTCTGGTCAAACTTTGGTTTTCGATCCTTTTCTTTGAGCTGTGAGTTTTTTTGAAAAGAGGTTTTGCAATAGTTGAGACAAACCAACTACCCATTACTGTTACTATGTTTGAGTTGTTTTGCTTTGCGGACCACTTTAATAGCTTTGCCACCGCTTCGCCAGGAGGGCAGCTCTGTGGGCCGTGAGTTGTTTTGCCGCCTTGCGTATGATCCACCTCCACGGAATTCTGTGGCCTTCTTTCCCGACAAGCTTTCTGATGATGAGTGTTCACGCGGAGTCTTGAAGCGTGGGCAGTGGGGCGCTGCCTTCATGGGTGGGGCGTGGCAAAAATTGCCGTCAGATAGCGCAAAGGTGGTGTGGGAAGTGGATTCTCAACTGAGTGTTCACCCGCCCAGTATCAAGTGCCTCAAGCCAAAGATTTGGCTAGTAGGCAAGCTTCACATGAAGACGGGGCAGGTCTACCAGTTGACCTAGGTTCTCTGCTTTTCAAAGCATGCGTGACCAGGTTCGGTCCCAGTTGGAAAATAGAGCTTTGATTTGAGATTGCGTCAGACCGCCCCTTTCTGTTAGACTGTTTATTGTTTTCCGAACGCCGACTTGGCGCCGACAGAAGAAAGGGTTGTTTGTACCTGAGCCGCTGAGCTACCTTTCTTTGTTTGGTTCGCTTGCACAGTGCATTTTTGTTCGTGACGTTGGCCTTGCGTGGCGCAATGCGAAGCTTTCCTGCGAGCGGTGGGGTGTATAGGTCTCTGTGTTTCACATGGCGAGCGTGAGAGTGGATTTGTCGTCGGATGAGTCCGACCAGCAGGTGTCGGGCGCAGGCCTGGTTTTTTGAAAAGCTTGTGAGTCCAGCGCATAGGTGACAATTGTCGAGCGCTTCTTTGCAGGCGGTGGACCAGCAAAGCCGACAAACCATGGTGACAACCAGGATGCGCCCGAACCCAAACCATCTGTAGTTGCCCCAAAGGATGGGGAGGAGCGGGAGGAGGCGACGCCCACCCCACGAAAACCCGCGCTAAAAACCACGCCTAAAGCACGCGCTAAAGAAAAAACAACAACATCAGCAACAGAGGTCCCCCGCAAACGACCTGCAGCAGCAATTGTCTGGGCTGGGGAGACAGGTGGAGTCGCGTCAGGGTCAACAAGGCCCGAGGAACATGAGCCTGAGCAGGCTGAGCAGCCCAAAAAACGACCAGCAGCAGCTACCCGGGATGGAGAAACCAGCGCGGCCAAGTCCAAGGGGACCACACCCCTTTCCGAGGAAGATTGCAGAGCGCTTTGGTGGTGATTGTTTTGTTGATTTTTCTTCGGAGGGGTGTGCAGTTTGTTTTGTGTATATTCAGTGACGCCCAACGCTTGCCTGCTTAGGTAATCAAGGTCACGGCTCCTGATGGGAAGGTGTACTACACTGCTCCATACAAAACGCGAGGCATCATGGCAATCAAGGTCGAAAGCGAGGATGGTTCCTCCGACAAACAAATCTTTTCAGCTCCTTTGCTTGCGTTAGTTACCGTTAGTTCATGCTGTGTTGAGACCAGGGTTGCCTCCAAGTGTTGAAATTTGTGGGGTGTGCAGCGGCCAAAAAACAAGTTGGGTAGCAGGATCCTTTGGGAAAAGTATTGTGGTGGGGTGCAATCGTTTTAGTGTATAGTGGTACGCTGCCAGCGTTCCTTTCAAGGCACCTGTTGGGCCTTTCTGGCTGTAAGGTCTCCGGGCCTGTTGCGCAGAAGAAAGGGCGTGTGATCATCAAGACCCTGATGCAGCGCCTTGAGCAAGGGGAGACGGTTGAAGATGTCCGGCATTTGGGCGCTACCATGAAATCGGTAGAAGCCCCTACGGTGCCAGATGTGGACTAGAGTCTGTGTAGGCTGTACGCCTGAGAATTTTTGAACGGCCGGCCATTGGAGCATGAGCAAAAATGGTTGCCTTTCACCGGCAGTTTCAGTTTGGCATTATTCCACCTCACGACCCACCGTTCGAAAGTATGATAGCTACTATGGGTGCTGCGCCAAAGTTGTTCGCCAGGACCGATGATGCTCCTGGCCTGGGACAGCACGCTGAGTTCGCAGCATGATGTCCTTCGAGTTTAAATAGGGGGTGTCATGGGGGGCATGGCGCTTGGGAAAACCAAACATTGACAGTGTGTGGACCCTCGAAGGAATCACAGGTTCGCTTCAGTGTTCGTTGCGAAATTGAATTTGGTACAATCAGTTCAAGGCGTTTGAACTATATGATGTTTGCAGTGAAGAAACCTCCACACTCTCACAATTAGTTTCCTCCACCCACTGTTTCAAGCAAAATTAGACTAGAGCACAGACTGGCAAAACGCGCGGGTTCCAGCTTCAGCGCTGAATTGGGAATCCAAGCCAAGGTGTTTGGGCCAGTGTTTGGGGATGTTGCAGTTTTTTTTGGCGCAATAAACCAGGCTCAAAAACGTGCTCGGAAGCTGTCGCTTTGGTTTGCATGCGTCCCCTGCTCTGAGCGCGGGCAAAGCTCGCCCTGTGGATGCGCGCTGCGGATTAGCAAGGGCTGCACTACCTGGTGAGCACGGCGTCAAAACGGTCAGTCACTGTTGCGCGCCCTTTAAAGGTGTACAGCAAGGAACGCGCTCAAGTTTGTTTGATTTGGTTATCGGTTCACCTCCTGGTCAGGAAGTCAAACGTGGGAGTTCACTGAAACAATTATACCTGCGCAAATATGTTACATAGAACAGCTATGAAACAGGAACCGTGGCCCAAGCGCTGTGAAAGCACCATGTTTTTCAATGATTCTGAAATCTGCACTCTTCTTCACAGTTACGGAGGCGTGATGTGCCTGCGACCCTGGTGGCAGACTTCAATCCGTTTAGTGGTAGCGGAGGGGAGAGGAGGGGTGTGTGAGAGATTGCGCGAGCTTGAGCAAACATAGAGCCATTAGTGGCTTGAGCCATTAGTGGGTAATTTCAGGGCGGGGAAAAGTCAGTCTGGGCAAACTTTGATGTCCAAATGGCAAATTACTGGAGATAGAAAGTATGCTCAGCTGCAACGCTGGTAAATGAAAGAAAGTATCAATTTTGACCTTGGGACGTCCAAGTTAAAAGTATCAGTTTTGACCGACCACCACCAAAGAGAGATGCGCAAAAGAAAATCCAGCAAAATGATTAAATTAAAGTCGAGCCATCGTGGAGTTTTCTTGACCAGGCACCGCCCAAGCCAAAGTATCAACTTTGACAGTGTCAAAGGTATAGGAATAACCGCCCGAGATTAGATTCGACGTGTGGCAGTCAAAGGTATCAGAATGACCACCGAGAGACGCGCTAAATAACCAAAAAAGATTGAGATTGAGAAACCATTTTGACGGTCCACTGGTGGCAGTCAAAGGCATTAGGTCCAAGTTCCTATGATTAAAGTCGAGCCATCGTGTGGTTTTCTGGCCCGGGCACTGCCCAACTAAGTCAAAGTATTCAACTTTGACAGACCATCATTGGTGGCAGTCAAAGGTATACAAATAACCGCCAAAGAGATTAGATTTGACATGAAAATCAATTTGAGGGCCCATTGAGCCCATTTGTGGCAATCAATGTTATAAGAGTGACCACAGGGAGGCGCTCAATACAAAATCCAAGCACAGTTTGAGATTGAGAAAAATACCTTTTTGACAGGCCACTGGTGGCAGTCAAAGGCATAGGAATGACCGCCCAAGAGACCAAGCCTTGGATCCAAACCCAAGCCTTGGATCCAAGGAGTCAGTCTTTACTCACTACCTCGTGAAAACAGGTGGTCTTCCATGCGATGCCCTCGCCAGCCATTTTTTTGATGTCGTCAGGAACAAATCGGACCGGAGGTACAAGTGCCGCAGCTCGGTCAGCCAGATCCAATATGCTGCTGGATTGTTCATCAGTACGGATGAGTTGCCCTCTTACGGCCTTCGTCGTACTGATCTTCCTTTCTGACCTTCTCTTCATCCACATCCAGCTGTACTATAGCCCTTAGCAGCGTTGCGACCTTTGTTCGCTATTTTCTGCCATTGGAGCGCTCTTCCCTTGGAAAATCCCGCTGCTCTTCACCGCTTTGTTTCCCACTTTGTGTCTCGAGACGTTTGTACCACAACACTGATCTCACCATTGCTTCACTTTGTTCACCTGGTTATCCCTTTGCTTCACCTTTGACCTACCCCTTTGGCTCAAGTTTGACCCGATCATCCGCCTGCTCCTTTACATCCCTTCTTTTATTGTAGCCATGGAAGCCTCCTTTTGGTCTACGTTGGAGACAATGTGTGCACTGTGCACGCACATGTCCACATAAACTCTACTGAAGCAAAGTGGATCGGTTATTTGGAAACGCGTGGGAAGTGGGCCACTTTGGGACCAAATGATCTACCAAATCTGCTGCGCTCAGCATGCATTTGGACATGGGCTGTCCGCTCAGAGTGCCAACAAGTATAAACGTTTGTCAAACAGTCAACAGTGACACAAATAGCACTGTCGTGAGATGTCATGAACATCAAATTGTTATAGAATCACCAAAATCCTCACACACGCACCCTGCGCCCTGTGTCAGTGTCACTACGCCGGTGTCCTCTGGCTTCACGCCTCCCACAAGCCTGCAAGGCTGCAAAGAGGGGACCCCTTCCACAAACTAAGTTTTACGTGCAATATGTCTCTCTTAATTACTCAACTCGGCCAGCAACCACAGATTGCTACTTTACATAGTTACCTGAAGTAAACTACAGTAAACTTGTCAAATCTGATGGGTTCAAAAATGCCAAACCACCTCATGTCAAACAAAACTTTGACATTGAATCAAACTGACTGGGAAATGTATGCAGAACTTGCACGCACTTGCTTATATATCCCCTCATAAATTAAAACACACTCAAGCCTACCCTCAGCAGACTTCTCTGGGAATCATTGCTCTCCTGATCTCCCGCCGCTCTCTTTTGGATTCGATTTCGCGTTCCTTGGAGGTATTGTATGAGATGCCCTACACAACCACCTTTCCTCCCGGTCTTCCAGCTGACTTGGAACAGATTCTTTGTGATCTACACGCTTCCACTGAAAGGCTGTTGGAGGAAGTTTCGATCGCCAATCGACTTCCACATCGCTTGGCCTTATATCCACCTCATGCTCTACCGGCCCAGCCTTGGCTCCTGGAGGTTCTACGTTACCACCCTTATGGTCCGGGCCCTCCGTCTTCCTTCAGCACTGAGTTTCCATCTTAACTTTCACCAAGGCCAAAAGCCGCCTTCTTCCATCGTTCGCCCAATCGACAAAACATGCGACTTGCGTGATTCAGCTTATGTGACACCTTCTTTTTGAGTCCACTCATATTCCCGTGTTTCACCACCACTGTTCTCACCACCCCTCCGTTTTACACTAATCCTTTCCTTCCCTCACCCTCTTCCCTTTCTCTCCGCAGCCTTATTTGACTCAGGCGCTCGCTCTCGTTTTGTCTCGTTTTGTCTTTTTGTCTTTTCGCACTCATGGATCCTCCTCC